GTTTTTTTTCTTCTTCTTTTTTTTTTTTTATGTGGCTGATATTTTATTATATCTGGAGTCTTTATGTTTTAGGGGCTGGCTTACAGGTGGTAGCGCGGTTGAAGATCCTCCGTTTATGCAAACCTTGTGTAGCAGGTGTGCTGCTGTCTGTGCCTACCCTTCTTTCCTCTCCCTGTGCAGAGCAGTGAACAGCTGTGCTTCAGGCAGGGTGAGCTAGAGCGGGTTGCCCCGGTCTGCGTCCAGTTGAGCTTTGAATGTCTCTGAGGATGGAGACTGCACAATCTCTCTGGGCAACCTGTTCCAGTGTCCCACCACCCTCACGGTTTTTTATTATGTTTGAATGGAATTTCCCGTGTTTCAGTTTGTGCCTGTTGCCCCTTGTCCTGTCACTGGGCACCGCTGAGAAAAGAGTTCGCTTCCTTCTTTATGCTCTCCAATTAGGTGTTTATGTGCATTGATGAGAGCCACCTCCTCCCCAGTCAAAACAGGCCCAGCTTTTTCAGTGTCTTATCGTGTGAGAGATGCTTCAGTACTTCATCATCTTTGGGGCCCTATGCTGGCCTGGCTCCAGTAGATCTATGTATCTCTTGTCCTGGGGAGCCCAAAACTGGACCCACGCTCCAGATGCGGCCTCACCAGTGCTGAGTAAAGGGGAAGGATCACCTCCCTCGGCCCGCTGGCAGTGTTCTTCATAATGATGTCTAGAAGATCATCTGTGTTTTCTTTTTAATTCAGGAACACAAGAGCAATGGCTTTGAGAATGGTTGATGTGCCTTTTCAGTCTGAGGTGACCGGCTGACGTTTGAACACCAGTTGGTCTTTCCCTCTGCTGATCATATCCCAGAATGGGGAGGTAAGAATCCCAAAGGAGCTGTCAAATTAAATTGTGATGTCTTTTGAGTGAAGGACCAGGAACCCAATCATGAATTCACGGCTAATCACGAATTCAAAGGTGGGAGTAATGTCTTGACTACACTCAAGCTGGAGCATAAGCAAAGCTAGAGTGGAGCAGAGTGAAAAATTTTATGAAGAATCTGTTTGTCCTTAGCTTGTTTCAGAATGCGTTGTGCTGCTTTTTGGTAATAAAGTCCGTTTTTAAAGCAGATTATGCTGTTTGAATTTTAGGATCAGCATCTCGTGTTTGCTTCCTGCTTCTTGGCACTTCAGCATCTCTCCAGTGGGATGTCCACGTATTCTCAACACCACTTTGCGACAGATCGTCGTGATAGGAATACTTGCTGCTGCTGTCTCTTTGCTTTACTACTCTTTGGTAGTCATCCGCAATAAGTATGGGCGTGCATACAGGGACAAAAGATTCCACAGGTGAGAGCTGGAAAGAGTTTTGTGGAAAGGAATAAAATGTAGTTTTGGTGTGAAAGAGAAAACACTGACAGGTTGTGTCTGTAAAATACGTGAATGGGGAGGAAAAAGTATGAGTAAAACTTCCTGCTTTTTTTATGAAGCTTTCCTTATCTAAGTTGATTTTAATTTATCAATAGTTCAGTTTTCTAATATCTTATTTTATGTATCTGTAGCAGCTCTGTAAAACTATAGGCACAAAAATATTGCATAATAAATTATTTTTGGAAATTACTTTTGGTATTTATTCTGGGAATTTGGTTCTTATGGCTGGCACTTCACTCTCTTCTTCAGCAACAGCACAATAGTGAAAGCTGCATGGTTGCTATCATGGAAACTGTTGTCCTGTTTTGAGTCTGATGTTGAGAAAAAATTCCATAGGGAACTTAATTGCCACGTAGTAATGCCTGGTTTTCTTCTAGATATCTTGCCCGAGTAACTGACACTGAAGCTACAGATACAAACAACCCCAATCTGAACTATGGAATCGTTGTGGACTGTGGCAGCAGTGGCTCTAGGATTTTTGTGTATTGCTGGCCAAGGCACAATGGTAATCCGCATGATCTGTTGGACATCAAACAGATGAGGGACAAAAACAGAAAACCAGTGGTTATGAAAATTAAACCAGGTACTGGAAAGAAATTAATTTTAGATGCGATTTTCTAGATAGTTGCCTGTTCTAACTTTGCTTTTTCAAAGCCCATATTTAAAGTGTCTGGGTAAAGGACACTTGCAAGTTGTCAGCATGGCACTCCCCCCCAGATTTCTTTGGGTTTGGTTTGCAGAGAGCTTTGTCCAGCTTTAAAGCTTGAAACCTGACACTGATGGGCAGGAGGGAGAGGTTTCTCTGTGGACCAGGACAGTTGCCGGTTCAGTTGTCATTTAACTTGGTTCTGTTTGTTTAATGAATAAATAGTTGGCTTTCTGTGAAGCTATTTGAACCAATTATGTAAATAGTTAATGTAGCTAATACAGGTTTTTGTTGTTTAGAGGATGATTAAGTATTAGCTTCATTCTTCTTTCCTTATTTCTGTAGTTGATTTCCTGGGTTTGGCTTTGGGTTGTTCGTTTCTCCTCTGTGTGTTGGTTATCAAGATTTTTCAGGAAACGCCTGAAGCTTGAATTGCTTCACTTTCATATTTATCTGTTTGACTAGGCATTTCAGAGTTTGCCAGCTCTCCCGAAAAGGTCAGTGATTATATTTCTCCACTTCTGAGCTTTGCTGCTGAACATGTGCCACGTGCAAAACACAAAGAGACTCCTCTTTATATTCTGTGTACTGCAGGAATGAGGATTCTGCCAGAAAGGTTATTGGCTGTCTTATTTTTAGTACTTAGAATAGCGATCCTGGTGTGTCTGACTATTTTTAACTGTTCAAAATGTAATTTTGCAGCCAGCAGAAGGCAATACTTGAAGATCTGCTCACTGATATTCCTGTGCATTTTGATTTTCTGTTTTCGGACTCACATGCAGAAGTTATTTCAGGGAAACAGGAAGGTAGGTTAACGTTGGAAAAATTATCTTTGAGATGTTTATTACCTTCATGGTACAACTTGGATATTTTTGTTGTTGTTGCTTTTTAAAATTCTGGTTTGTTTGAGAGACCTTATGGCTCAGTTGCAACATACGGAGTGTGGAGATAATCATCTGCTGTGATCTTCCAACTTGTCTAACTGTTTTCTAATTAGCAGTGAAAATATCTGT